CCAGGACTACGATCTGTACGATCGCTGATCGCGAAAATTTCGTGCATTTTTAAGACTTTATAAATATTAACAAAATTAAAAAAAAATTTATAAATATTTTTCCAAAGCACTCATGGAAATTCGAATTAAATAGATACTACTGGTGCTAGTGATTCTCTAACTCTGAAAATATTCACACACGTTTTACGCGACTGCCTCAAATTTAAGTGACTACAAAGGAAATAATTTAAAAATGCCGGTTTGGGCACTCAAGAAACAGGCTTGCTTTACGTTTATGATTCTTTTGCATTTACATAGTAACTGCGCATAAATACATATTTACGTACATACATAAGTGCTAGTAGAGGCGTAGCAGAGTAGCAGGTAGCGTCAAAGAAGCGCAAGTGCAAGTCTCTTACCTCCTTTGATATTGTTAGCAACGCACCTTTATTGGTTTCCATGCAATTAAATGACGTATTCTCATTTTCATCTTTGATAGAGCGCATTTTTACAGCGCCATCTGCACAGGAGGATACATCGCCAACGCCAATGCCAACGCCAACGCCAACGCCACTCCCACCACTACCTCCGCTGCCAACGCAAGCGGAAAACGGCGACTCCAGCAGCGATTCACAGTCACTGTGCGCTTCGTCTTTAATCTTCGCCAAATTGCTACTGTCCGATTCTTGAGAATCTTGTGAGTCGCTAGCTCCTTTCGAGTGTTCCTGCTTCGCCTTCTTTTGGATTTTTTTCACCTTGGCACGCTGATTTTGAAACCAAACCTAATGTGGTGAGTAAGCAAGGAAGTGTTGGCTATTAGTGTACATAAGTTTGAGCGGAATTTAAGTCAGTTTTCTGCAAGAGGATCTACCTTTATTTATTTTTGTTTTTTTTTAGTTTTATTATTAGCATGATTACACACATTTTTTTATTTATTTTTTCAAGTCATAATAAAATAATGTAGTCACTCACACCTTCCTGGTAATTAGACTAACTGGTTAAAAATTATTATTTTATAGTGTATTTCATTGTTGTAAACTGAATAAAAAATACGAGTAAATAACAGGATAACCAGGCAGGTGGGAACATCCTTATGTTAAAAAAAAATATGTTTACATATAACGCATCTTTACCTGTACAATTCTTAAACTTAATCCAGTCTCCTTTGCTAAATTCTCTCTTACTTTTCGGCATGGTTTTGGCGATAACTCAAAAGATGCTTTGAAAGCCCTTCTCTGCTGCGTATTCAGAATGGTGCGTGGTCGCTTAGGACCACGTCGTCCATCCAATTTCGGCGTAAATAAGTCATCGCCATAAAAATCTGCGCGTAGAAAAAATAAATTAAACAACATATGAGCACATACATACATACATATACACACATATATGTACATTAGACCAGTCCACCTTACACGCAACCAAACAAAAGTTCGCTGTGCACCTCTGAGTTTATTTCGGAATATTTTGCAGGGCGATTTCCTAAAAACATTTTATTGTTTGGCCGAACCTACATACATACATACATATGTAGGTGCACCAAAAAGTTTAAAAACTTTTTACTAAAAAGCCGTAAAGTATGTATATTAGGGCGGGTTGATTTTTTTTAGATCGTTTAGCAAAAACGTAAACTACATACAATTCTAAGAAAATTCTCCGAAGAAACCATGTATCTAAAATAAAATCCTAACCCGCGCCTCTCGACTTGTAAATTTATATGGCTGCCTTTGCCAAAAAAATAAATGTTAGAAAAAATAGGTTTTTCCAAAAAGAAATCGAATTTTCTGAATAAAATTGTTTAGTAAGGTAGTTCTTTTGCACTTTATATTTTTTCTACACTCAAAATTTTTTTTCATTAAAAAAAATATTCACCCAAGCACGCAAATCAGAGGAGATGTAAATTGGGGTTCAACTGCTTTTTTGATGATCGAATATTTTGATTAGTCTCAAAGCAAAACCTGTATTGCATAAACTATAATATAATATAATAAAACAAAATATATTTCAAAAAAAGAAAATAATTTTAGCGAAAGAAGAGGAAAAAAATTTTCAAGTCGAGAAGCGCGGAATAGGGTTTGATTTTAGACCCATGGTTTCTTCAGATAATTTTCTTAGAATTTAATGTAGATTACGTTTTTGCTATACGATTTTTAATTTTTTTTTCATCCATACAAATCAACCCGCCCTAATGTATTTTTTAAATAGTTCTACTGGAATATTTGAAATATTACCTTAGCAAAAGTATAATGATTTTTTGCGATATTTAATTTACTGGCATTGGGGTGAGACGTTATGGTGATAAGAACTGAGATCTGGTTGGTAAGTACTAGAACAGAGTACCTGAGGACAATGAAAAGAAATTGCCTACTCGAGGTAAAAACATTGATATGTATCATACTTTCAAATTCGATTGTAAATGCCGAAAGTATGACGAAAAATGCAAAAACCAACCACTGCGGTCGGGCAAAAAAAATTTATATTTTTTCTAAATTGCCTAGCAAAATTTTTTTAGAACCAGAGGTGTAAGGCGAACAATTTTTCTGGTATGGTCGAATGTACATACAAACAAAATTGCAAACATTTTCATATAAATGGTGAATGAAAACTAGCGTATTTTTAGTTTCGACTTTTGTGACGTCCAACCTACCATAACCCTGCAGCATTTCCACCTCCTTTTCATAATCCAAACGGCAGAATAGTTGACCCTGCTTCACCACATACTGCTCTCCCTTCTTCAAGATGCCGCCGCATACAACGCAGGCAAAGCATTTCAAATGGAAAACGCTGTCAAAAGTTCGCATAACCAGCTCATCGGAGGCGATTCTGTGACCACAGCCGAGGCATCGATTGCGCAGAAATTGTCTGTGAGTATGCGTATATGTATGTAATAATGTAATAAGGTAACTTTTATAAAATAATTTTAGATTAAAGTTATGAATATGTATGTATTGGATTGTTGTTGGTAAGCAACCCTCATCATAGAATTCTCGGGCCTCTCTATGATAATAATGTTTACCTTGACTTTACGAGTCAGCCAGGCGAAATTGTTTACACATCGCTTAGCCCATCAAAAGTATTATGGTGTTTAGTCAACCTGAACTTAAAATTTTTGTGTCTTTAAACATAGGTTTGAAAAGTTAAAGTTATTTTTTTTTTATTGTTAAGCACCATTAGAAAAAAATTATGAGTGATTGTCACGGGCGGGACGCGATAAAACATTTCAAAATCTCTAAAGTAGGCACTTATAATATAATGAAATAAATGAAATAGGTCTGCATAGTATAAACACACTCTAGTTATGAAATTAGAGAAAAATCTCCAAAGTAGTAATTAAGCAATACGAAATTTAAAACTTTTTTGTCACGGTTGGGACATGCAAAACCGTAGTGATTTCATTTCATTATACATATAATTTAAATGCCTATTTTTCTTCAATGCCATGTTGCTTCTTTGGAACGAAGAAAGATCGAGACATTTATTCTCCACTTCAAAAAAATAATAACTTTGTAAATACTTGATTTTGCAGAGCTTTCTGTATTAAGAAACATTGTCGTATTCAATTACTTTTCTAATGTTGAAGTTTTGAGTGCATTTACAGTGTAATAAAAAAAAATATAACTAAATTTTTTCTTCGAAAATACGTTAATTTGAAGTATTTAGCATTGATTCATCAAACATTCCATGTTCAATATGTTACTTTATAATTGGGCACAAAGTTTCACTTACTCATGGAATACCCCTAGTCTAATATTTGGAATATTTTGCTTTGTTTGTAACCGAATTCTAAGAGGAATACACAAATATTACGTATACGCCCTGACAATTGATTGGGATTGAGCGTTTATTTAATTAGATTACTTGAATGCCTTAAAGCTCTTCAAGCTTTATCTTGTTTGCTTTTATGTTATGTACTTATACTTTACTTATTTTTAATTGCACATACCTACATACATATCTACTAAATATGAAATATGTAAGTACATTTCATAACCATTCGAACAATAAACATACTAACGGTACCCAAATAAATGTGTATATACAAACATATACATATATATATATACGCATACATATTGCAAATCATGAGCAAATATTTACCTTTCATAGTCTATGCGACAATAAAGTTTGCCATCGCGCGCATAACAGGAGTGGAGCAAGTGCAGGGCGCAGGTGGCACACTTGAGGCATCCCTCGTGAANCCGCGGCGGTGCGGCAAGTCAAGGCCGTCAGCGACGACGACATCGGCAAATGCAGCGACAATGATAATGGCAGCGCCATAGGGAGCCCGAGTGTAACAGCGGCCGCGGAGTCACATTTGGTGCCAGCCTTTGTGGCGTGGCGCAGTGATGTGGATGGCGTGGGGGGCGTGTGGCAAGGCGGCGAGTTGCCCTCGATTGGAAATTGTGTATGTTGCGAGTGCGTGTCGAAATGCATTTGCAAGTGTTGTTGTTGTTGTTGCTGTTGTTGCTTTTGCAGGAGTGACCCATGCGACTGCATAGTGACAAATATACTGCTGTTGGTGTTGTTGTTGGCATTGTTTGTGCTGCCATTGTTGCCATTCAGGCAATTAGTTAGGTTACTATTGCCGTTGTGGTCAATGCAATTGTTGTTGTTGTTGGTATTTGTGGAATACATGGCAGCCGTGTTGCAGGCGTCATTGCAGTGGCCGCCTCCCCCCCCAAGCCCACCGTCGCCACCGGCAGCAATACTCAAGTTGAAATCATCCATTGCTGTGCCATTGCCGCAGAACAGGGAGGCGGGACCCAAGGGTGGCGGCCGCCCTTGGGTACCCGGACTCGAAACCGGCCCGGTTACTGGTATATTCAACTCCATTGGTTGATGTGGCTGCTCCTGCTGCTGCTTCTGACCGCCATTGCCGGAATTGCTCATTTTGTTACAGTTGCTGTTGTTGTTGTTGTTGTTGTAGCACTTGTTATCATTCATGGAATTGCCATTATTTTTGTGGCTATTGCAATTTCCCATGACATTTGTGTAAAATGTCGTTGATGCCGATGTTGCCGATGCCGATGCCGATGTCGATGCCGATGTCGATGTCGCCGCCGATGCGGTCGGTGTTGTCGGATTTCCGTTTATTTCACCGCAGGCCACTCCTCCCGCGCCACCACACAACACCTCCCTGGACGGCACTGACGCGGCTCTTACGCCGTCCGCTGCCAAAGCCAAAGCTGCTGAGGCCACCATTGTTGCTTCTGTTATTGCTGTTGGCCTCGGAGTGGTTGACGCCTCGACGTTCGAGTTGCCGGTGCCATTGTCGTTTGTTGTCGCACCGGAAGTTGTTGCTTTCAGTGCCGCAGCCAGTGTTGTTAACATTCTTGGACTTCCGCTCATCATCATCATGGGTGTGGATTGTTGTTGCTGTTGCGGCCGTTGTATTGGTGTGTGACACTTGAGGCCCAGTGGTACTGCCGAGCCGAGCCCATGCGTGTGTGGGAATCAATGAGTACGTTGGCATGCGTGTACATAAATACATATGTGCGTGTGCGCGTATTTGCGTGCGTATGTGTGCGTGAGCGATGGATAGAAAAACATTTAAACAATTTTTATTTGAGCCTCGTAAATTCCACTTTAAATGGCAGCCATACTATTTACCCTACAACTCTCGACGGCCAACAATTGAATCACCACAATTACAAATTTCGCATTCGTTTGCGACACCATTGCGCCAGGCAGTCAGGCAGCCAGGCAGGCAGGCACTCAGTCAGTCAGCCAGTTTTTGTGGTCATGCAATGGACTTGTTTACAAATTGGGTCTGCGCCAGTGTTGACCAAACAAAATCGAGCCACATCGGCGCGTGGCAGGGGACTTGTACTGGACTGGAGTGAATTTGTGGTTTTGCAATTATGAAAATAACTGAAATGCGGATATGTAAATTGTTCACAAATACTAAACTAAATTTTTCAAATGGAAACCGCCGCATAGTTTTTGCCTGCCCAATGACACTGACAACTTTTTACGGTAGTGGTTATGTTTGTAATTTGTCTCAATTTGTGCTGCACATTTGAGTGCCTAAATATATATGCGGGTAGCAGGCTGCTCAATTTTATTTTATTTATTTTTTTGTGTTTAACAGAACACCAATAGGCAAACGCTTTAAATGGCAAGAATCTTTAAAGGCCTTTTATATGCTATAAAATTGTGTGGACAGCACTGAGGTGTTTTCGTAGAAAAATTATTATAATAATAATATATTGGCACTTACACAATGTTAGTGTTTGCTACTGGACATTTTTTTTCATAACTTTGATCAATTCCAGCCAGAATTAATAAAAACTAACAAAGACAGATACAAAATTAATAAATAAAAAAAAACGGAAACATGAAGAAATGAAATGCTTTTCAACGACAGCAAGAACCCAACCCAATGTATATATGTATGTATATTAGACTGCATCACCAAAAAAAGTTGCGGGATTTCCGCCGGGATTACAAAATTTTTTCTATTTTAAGACGTCCACCAAAATATTTCGGAGAAATATTAAGATTTAAGTGAGCTGTACCGATTTGAAAATACCTCCAAAAATTAAGTTTTTTATGAATAAAAATAGTTTCTTAAAGAACTTTTTGAAAAAGTCCCCTCAGATGACAAAACAGATTAGGCTTAGACGGAATATTAATAATGAGATTTTTGATGCTGTATTTTTTTACATTTTTCAAAGCTTGTTTTACGAAAATCTTGAATAACTGGGCCAAAACTATTTTGATTTATACTTATGGGATCTCAGTAGAAAGGTATTTTCCCACTATTTTTATTTATGCGAAAAAAAAGTCATTCGTGTCCCAATTTTGATTTTATTTTCAAATACCAACACATCTTAATTCAACCTTGGATGACGTTCGTTCATTCTACCTATCTCTTCCATCCTTGGAATGAGTTTATTAGCAAAGAAATAAAAAGGGTGAGAAAATACCTTTCCAATGGCACCCCCTAAGTCTAAATCGGAAAAGTTTAGGTTCAGTTATTCAAGTTTTTTTTTATACCAATCTCTGAAAAAAACAGCAAAACATCACAAATCTGATTATTACGATTCCGTTAAATTTTTTTTAAATTTTTTTAAAATATTTTTACGCAAATTTTTTAAGCTTAAACCGTTTTGTCATTTGAGGGGATTAAAAAAAAAAAATCTTTAAGAAACTATTTTTATTTGTAAAAAACTCAATTTTTGGAGGTATTTTCAAATCGCTCCAGCTTACGTAAGTCTTAATATTTTTCCGAAATATTTTGGTGGGCGTCTTCAAATATAATAGATTTTATAATTCCAATGGAAAAACAGCACCGATTTTTATTTTTTTGTATGGGGAGTGATGCAGTCTAATGTATATGTATACGAGGTGAGAATATCAGCCCTTCGAGCTCACGAAATGTTAGCTATTCAAAGATAGCGGCGAAAATCTAGTAGGGCGCATGTAGGTACCAGCTGTTAAGTGCAATCCAGGATTATATGTAAATATGTATTTACTACTACGGAAGGTCCTAAATGTTTTGGTGGCTAAAACTAATTACGGCTAAGTAATTAGATGATTAAAAAAAGAAGAGTATTTTATTGATTGGCATACGATTTCCCACATTTGTGTAACAAAAATTCGTTTAACCTTTGACGACCGCGGGGTCTAAAGAAGCCACTTTTTAAATTATAGTTATATAAAAAAAAATGATTGGCGCTTAGTTACAAAACGCATTTGTAGGTAAATTTTTTTTTGTAATGTTGCAAAATTAGACTCATTTCAATTTGAAACCTCAAATGTCTGAATTTCGAAATTCGCCTACTGACAAGTCAAAAGGAGCAACCTTTACCGCACCAAAATTGTAAAAACCCTTTTGTTTCCTCTTTTTATTGTGTTGTTCCCTACAAACCGAGAGCATTTCTGAACTTACTCATACCCCTACAAACCTATAAAGGGGATATGATTTGAAATTAAAATGAACAAAAAACTTTTTTAAGGCAGTGTCACACGATTGGGCATTTGCCCAAAATTTGCTGCAATTCGTATCCCAATCGTGTGAATGCACAAATATTTTTCTTTATACCAATCACGAAAAAAAATTTGTTCAAAATTTTTCTAAAGAAGTTCACTGTATTGTATCAATTGTCTGACTACAAAAAAGATTGTCCTCCCAATTTTTTTTACTTTGTACAAATCTGTACAAATGTGCCAATCGTGTGACACTGCCTTTAGCAAAATATATAGATAACCTCCTTTCTTATCATTAGAAAATAATTTGCTCAGAGCTATCAATAACAACAATCGTTGTTAAAATAAACTTTTTAGAAATTACAGATTTTCTCTTAACAAGTAAAATGGCAAAATCAAAAGGTACAAAGGCCAAACTAGATTTTAGTGTACTTGTATTGTAAACGCTGCTTGACGTATTCAATATTTCCTTTAAAGGCCGACAAGTCAAAAAGTGCAAAGGCAATTTTTTTTTGTGATTTCGATAAAATCGGATTAAAGCAACAGCTTGCCACCGTTTAACAACAACCACAAGGAAACTACAAACCTTTCGTCCTCTTAAAGCTGTGCACATTCGCACCCACATACATACAAACATATGTACATACATTATAATCGGTCTAGCTGCGAACTGCCTATCCGCCTGCCTGCCTGTCTGCCTGCCATGCCCATGTCAATTCGAAATTAGGGATGAAGGTCTTTACGCATATCTTTCCACCCTGCCTTGTCTTGTGCCTATAAACATTCGCACATACATATGTATGTAAATATGTGATGCACACAGATTGCCCGCTCATTCGCTTCCCTTTGTTGACTCATTTATGTACAAATTCGGTATATCCGTGTGCGGTATTTAGCAGAAACCGAAAGGGCGTTTGTCTTCATATTTGACTGAGTGACTTAAATTCTTTTATAATTTAATTATAATCACAAAACAAAAACAAAAACAAAAAAACAAAACAGCCAAACCAGACAGAGGGCGGAAGGGTGAGCTGGTGTGGTTTAAGCAAACCATATGCTAAGGATTTTCAGACTATTTAAATGGTTTTGAATATAAAAGGTGTTGGTATCACCATTTGGCCTGATGCTTGGAGACGAGTTCAGTTTCATCTTGTTCATCGAAAAAACCAACAAATAAATAAACAAAAACAAGTGCAAATCCAGTTACCTCACGCAGCGTC